GAGAGTTTAACATGCATTGACCTCTCTGTTCTTTTGTTATATGGTTCAGGGATATCTTTGTTCTTCTCAAGATATCTTTTATGGTATCTCAGACTTTATCTCTTTCCTTGAAATAGGGAGGAGGTGATTAATTGATTATTTTAAGTCATAGCATGTTGCTCTGTGACAGCTTTGTCTCTGGCACTGATCTCTGGGCCAGCCAGCTATGGCCTGTGTAGTAGGACTGATTTTGCTCAAGGCTAAAGGGCTGATTTCTTTGAAGGGGATAGCAGAGCTCAGGTGACCAGCCAGCACTAAGGCAGCAAAGCCTATCCAGTACACTAGACTCTTTCCAGCTCTGATACCTAGTTTCAAAGCAGATAATCTCTTCCAAATGTTGCTTCTTAGATATCATGATATCTGGTGATGCGTTCAGTGATGTAAACTTAAGAGGACATACTTGAGAATTCTAGGATTTAAAAGATCACAAACAAAGCACTCAATAAATGATGGTTAGTATTATTATAAATTAATCTTTTAAAATTTCACTCCTCATATGTAGTCTTTTGGAATTTCACTTCTCACTAAGTAGTATATTGGATTGTTTCCATTTATTATTTATAATTCATGTAACAGCTTTATAGGCATATTTGCTTTTCCCATTTAAACAATGAGACAAACAGAGACTCAAAACTGTTACAAAATCAGATCATCTTCAGACAGCTATGAAAATGCAGAGCTTGATCAGCAGCCCAGTTTCTTCAACTTTAAATCCAGTCCTCTTTCCACTGTGACATGCTGGGTTGCTTACTTACCTATGGAGAAAATCAGAACATGTCTTGAACTTATCAGAAGTTGTTTATTTTTTAATTTCTTAAAAGATATTAGAGGAACCAGGATATATATAAAATTTAAATCTTACCGGAATATTCCTTCATTTTCTGGTTTGCACAAAATGGATTGATTTAATTTGAAAATATACAGTGTTCATACTTTGGAATGTTACATAACTGTGGTATTGATAACCCCTAACTGAAAGCTAAAATCTGTTGTCTGCTTTTCTTTCTTTTTGTTACATCCAAGCCAATAACTACAAGTAGCTTCTGCTATCTGTATGCTCCTTATAAAATTAGTTGTTTATACACCCTAACAAAAGTATCTTTTGGGGTACCATCATCTAAAGACTAGATGAGGTAACATAGATATATCAAATATTGATACAGCTAAACTTCAACAAAAGTAGTCCATTTAACAATATTTATTAAGTACCTCCTCTGTCACAGGATGCAAATTTCAGCCCTCGTGGACATCGTAGTCTGCTCTTTCTTCATGATCCATCTTCTTTGACAATATTGCTTGGAATCCTGTGTTCTCTCTTCCTATTCCCCAGAAACAGATATACAAATACATAAACAAAAGTATACCTGTCAACAGATAATCTTCGCTCTCCCTCGTTCAACTAATAAAGAAGAAGCAATCAAATGTTTTTCACTTCCCCTATATTAGTCTTCCGTGCTATGTAATAAATTACCACAAATTTAGAGGCTTAAAATAGCACATATTTCTTATTTCACAGTTCCATGGGTTAAAGAGGCTGGGCACAGCTTAGATGATTTATTCAGATCTTATCAGCCTGAAATCAAGTCTTGGTTAGCTTCATTCTCATGGGAGCTTCAGATCCTCTTCCAAACTCATTCAAATTGCTGGCAGAATTCCCTTCCTTATAGCTGTAGGGCTAATACCCTCATCTCTTAGAGGCCACTTCTCAACAGAGGCGATTCACAACATGATTTTTTGCTTCTACAAGGCCAGCAGGAGAGTGTTTCTGCCTGCTTTGGTTAGGATGGAGTCTCACATAACATAACGTAATGTAATCAAGAGTGACAGCTCATCACCTTTCCCATTTTCAGTTGGCTAGGTTCTTCCTAGGTTCTTCAGGTCCCAGGTTCTTCCCAAAGTGAAGGGGAGGGCACTGTATGAAGGTGTGACTCATTGGGGTACCCTAGGATATGTCTGTCATACCTGTTACCAAATAATTGTTATTATTATAGCTAAACTTCTTGAGATCTTTCCTTAAACCAACATTATACAGGGCATTTTACATGGAGTTATTGATTTAATCCTCACAGAAACTCTATGAAGTAAGTAGTTTGTTATTCTTAGGTTACAAATGATGAAACTGAAGTATGGAGATCTGGCTCCTTCTCAGCTAAGACTATTCAGTTTTTAAAAAAGTTAAAAGACACAAACAACAACAAATCTTGGTGCCACATATTTCTTCAGCTACCACACTCTTACTCCATTTCCCTTCCTAACAAGCTTCTTTACCTCCCTTTTCAGTTTTGGTGGATTCTTCTTTATTCACCCCAGAGCTTACTCCTCCCCAATCTTGAACCTACATCTCTGCCTAGAAATTAATACTCAGATTATCCTCCCTGCACACGCATAGACTATTCTCACATTGTTCTTGTTACTTTTCTTTCAGGGGCCTTAACACAATTTGTCATTACAACTTTATAGGACAGGTATCATATCTTTTTTGTTCATTGTTATATCCCCAGCACCTAGCGTATAAAGGTTTTGAGTAGAAGAATGAGTAATCGCATATTAATTAAAAGAAGCCCCATGATTTAATGGAAAAGGCATCATTTTGTGGGGGGTTAAATCCAGCTTCCTTACCTACCTTTATGATTGTAGGTACTAAATTAATTACAGTTATTATTATATTTTACATTATAGCTATCGTTGAACAATTAAGTGGATTTGGGACCACTGTGTAACTGGGGAGAGGAGAAAAGAGGTGTAGACACAGATATTGACAGACTACAAAGTGAGGAAGTAAAGGCTACTACGTACCCAGGCCTAGAGGTTCTTATAGCACCTTTACTTTCTCTGGGCACTTACACTATTACAGTGGACATTATCCTCTTCTCTTCTATCCTAGATACTAAGCTCTTGTGGCTGCAGAAGCTGTCTGTCCATTTCACAGTCCGTGGAACATAGGAGGTGCTTATGAAATGTTTGTTAAAGAAACGAGTGACTAATAGATAGTCACTTAAACACAGCTGTTCAGTGTATTATAAGTAGAAACAGTGATTCATTGATTCCCACTACATTATAACATAATGTTATTTTATCTATACGAGAACATGAGCTTGATTTTCACTAAATAAAGCGTTAGTATTCTTTTTCATGGTTGGGCACATTGGAAGTTTGCTTTTTCATTTTCTTCCCACGTAGGGAACATTGATTAAAATGCAATTATAAGATAGATTATCTTTTAAGACATACACACATTTGTCATATTTGCTAAAATTTATTCAAATTTTATTTATATACATTCGGGCAAAAAAAAATCAGTTCTCATCAAGGCCTATCAGATTGTCCCAATATGTGGCCAGGCATTGTCCACAAAGTTTAATGGAAAGATGAACCATAAATATCAAAACATACTTCTTTAATTTTGAAAAGTTGATTAAAGCTTGATCTGTCAGTGACTTTACTTTTATCTTTAGATGTCTTTATTTCATTATTCTCCTATTTCACTGCAGGCTACACCCCTTCTGAGCAGGTCTGCTAAAGCATTGGAGACATTATAGCACTTCAAATAGAGATTCTTCCCTTTGAAATTTAAAAGAAAGATGATTCTTAGAAAAGGTGGCACAATGTGAAAGTATAGAATAATGTCATTAGAGAATGATTTTTGCTTTAATATCATATAGAGGTTAAGGAAAATCCCACATGTAAGTATAGTAATTGAAATTCAATAATTGAAACCTTATAAGAATCAATATCAAAATTCTTTTTTTCATATGTTTCTAATATACATCCCTCAAATATGGTTTTCCCAATTGTAGATGCTGAAATTCATAGCAGCAATTACAAGAAAATCTTTTTCTCTTATTACTACAGAATTCCTTTATCCCATTAATTGGGGCCAGAGAAATTGCTTGCTAATGGGTCTCGCTCTAGGGGATGGCCTTCCATCCTGTAATTGAGCATCTCCTTGGCAGACTTGTAGGCTTGGCAGGTTGTGTGGTGGGATGGAGCATGTTTCTCCCAGGAGGTTCAAGAGATGCCATTCCAAGAGGGACCATTATTTAGCCAAGTAGTTGGATTATTTACAAATTGTGTTTGTAGAGAAAGAAGAAAACTTTATATGTGTGTGTGTATACACGTACACACATATGTATATACATGTATAGATATAGGTATGGATATGTTGCTATATACATACATATAGATATGTTTATGTGCATTTTTTAATGGAAGGTGATAATCAGTTCCCACAAGACTAGTTATTATTATGCCATCTTATAATCCTTGATTTTCAAAACCTTTTGCAATTTATATACTCGAAAATCACACAAGTGTTGCTGTGTACTTTTCCTGTTCACTCCTCTGCCTCTAGAACATTATTCTAGTGAACAGTTACACCTGGCATTGTCCTGCATGTGGTGGAGCTTCTGTCTCCCTAATCCTTCCATGCTGAACTTCATTCCTTATTGATTTCTGCCCTACTGTGATTCACAAAGCAGCAAGTAGTAGGAAAAAGCACTCAGAAGAGAGGCTTTTATTATAAAAGCAACTTTAAAGTCCTGTGATAACGGCGATAACACTAAACAACCTTCCACTTTTCCATCTAAATGTTTACTTTTTTGGTAATATTTTCTCTCTGAGATGTCCCTTTTGTTCACATTAGCTTAATTCCATGCATATTTTTTTAATAAGGGGGGCGGGGAGGATGGAAATGGTGTTTTTTTCCTTTAACCTCCATATAATTCCGAATAGTCTTGGTGATAACTTTATAATGAAAATCTCTAATTTCTTAAAAGTTGTTATATGTACTTATATTTTGAAATAATTTTTTTAAAAAGAATGTCAGATAATTGTTTTAAGAAATGGGCTTTGAAACAGGTTGTCTCGGCTTGTAGATAAAAGTTAATTACATCATCCTTTGCAAGTTTTCACTATTTTATTAATTTATTTTGAATATTTGATTCTTGAAACATACTGAAAATTATCCCACATCCAGAGATTTTTGTTCATTTGTTCAACAGAGATTTAGTATCTAGTATGTGCAAATCATTGTGCTAGGTTAATCTCACTTGACTGCTTCTGACAGTGATACTTTCACAACTCTTTCTTTTTAAATTTTATTTTATTAGTTTCAAGTATACAGTACATTGGTTAGACATTTATATAGTTTATAAAACAATCCCCCTGATTGCTCTTTCTCTCCTCTGGCTTTCCACCTAGCCATTACATTAATGCTAACTGCATTTCCTATGCTGTGCTCCCCATCCCTGTGACCATCTATCAACTACTAATTTGTACTTCTTTAACCCTTCACCCCATTCTCCCAGCTCCCCAAAACTCCCTCCCCTCTGTCCAACACCATGTTGTCCTCTATATTTGTGAGTCTGTTTTTGATTAGTTTGTTCTTTTTGTTCCTTAGATTTCACATATAAGTGAAATCATATAGTGTTTATCTTTCTCTGA